TGGTAAATAAATGCTGGCTTACTTGACAATCCAATCAAAAAATGTGAACTGTGAGAGGATTGGTTTACCTTGAATTTCGAATCTGCCCAGTGGCCTACAGGCACCGATAGTAATGACAGGGTCTTGACTATAATTGTGATCCGGCATTCAAACCTGTTAAAGGTGATGATGAGTCTCAGGCGAAGTCGAAACTGGATTAGACCCTAAATGAGACAAGCTTTTGAAAGAATAGTCTAAGTTAATTTAAATGGTATCCTGAGGCCTACCTGCCTGACTGCGTGGTAACTCAACTAAAATTATTAATTCATCCTAGGCAATCACAGATAACTAAGCTCTTATTCGCGAGTTTTGACAATGCAACAAAAGCCAAATTAATAGCAGAGAAAATTATCCATTATAATATCTAAAATCAAGTGTTATCTCAATAAGAATTAAAAAATTAAATATAGCTGCCTTGTGGTAACACGGTTAGGAAATATTATGAGTAGAGCTGATGTTTCCATTGAAATTCACATTGCCTTGTTTTCCCAAAGCTTGATAAGTTAACCACTCGACCACATTGCCACAAGTGCCCTTGGGTCACAGGGCATAAGTGAATTTCAATGGAAACGTCAGCTCTACTCATATCATTGTGGAAAAATTCTACTACTAGTCCTTCATCACCTTAAACGAGATAGGGTAAATACTTATCATATTACTGATTTACTGGTAGTCTCGATACTCTACCCTAATACGAAAATAGGAAATGTTATCTTTCACCCTTAACATTTACCATGATAGAAGAGTTAATCGCCGCCTCTACTTTTAATGGCAATATTATTAATTTTAATATAATGTTAAAGATACGAAGAGAAATTTGGTTTCAATGAATCTCCTGATATAGCAGTGTTAGGGGGACCTTCATTTCAGATGAAAGTGCATGAAGAAGAGATTTGTTGGTCGATCTCACTAGATAAGGACGGATAAATCTCGTTGTGCTGCAACCGTTTGGATTTTATACGATATCCATGCTGACGCAGTCCACGAGACTTTCTCCCTCGTTTCGGATAAAATCGTGATGAGCTTTCATCCATCATATGATAGACATCATCAGAGCTGGGTGTCATTCTTGTAACATTCTCACCAACATAATATCGTCCACATGAGCAAACAATCTTCTGGCAGTCTGATCTCGATAATGGGTTATATTTCTCTCTAAAAGATGGCATAATTGAAGAAAGTGTGACACATTATCTAGATCCGGCTGCTGCAAGATTGTTTTCTCATGAGGCATGCCGACTTATTCGACAAAGATTGGTAGAGTACAAAAATGCTTGCAAAGGTATATGAATCCAACGGTCAGAAGTGGCCGAACACATGGTAGAAACTGGACATGAAATAAAATGGTCTTAAACTAGTAGGTTTGCTGATTACGGTACGTATGTGTGTAAAAGAAAGATAAAAGAGGCTATTGGAATTTATAGCTTAGAATATACGTTAAATATGAGGAACGAAGGTAGAAAGTTGAGTAGGAATTACTTATGCTTGATTGATAGATTGAAATAGAGAGGGTGTTAAGACACCACCAAAAAAATAAAAGGCGACTCAATTTGTCTGCTCGGTGATGGTTCAAACATTACTCACACACTTCAAACATGTTAAAATAAGGTCATCAACCAAACCAGACGTGCTAGATTACGCAGCCCCAGTCATGCCTTTCCTTAGAGGGTTAAACGTTAATGACCCTAGATTGAGAGATTAGGATACGTGGTTTCGTAAATTGACTTACATGCTTACAAGCTCATATCTTCTTATCTCAATCATACTTACTTACGGACTTACGCAGTCTCGGTCATGGCTTTCTTTGAGGTCATTATACCTTGATGATCAGAGCCTAACATTAACCTTTTGATAACTCTGATTTACGACCGGTATTGCGTATAGACACTAACACACACACGCATACACTCGAGCAAAAGTAGCAGGACAATTATGAAATATAATTAGCCAAACCACTTA